GATGCAGTCTGGCGGCCCAGGAGATTTGAAGTCAGAACTGGTGCCAAGATTTACCCAGGAGAGCAAGCAGAGGCAAAACAGAGAACCTGGGCCAAAGGAAAAAAAAAAWAAAAAAAAAAGGGAAAAAAATAAAGGAAAGGAAGCGGGGGGCGAAAGGGAGGAGAGCGTGGCAGTGTCAAAGCCGGCTCTCTGGAAAAAGGTGGAACTCAGGGCTAAGCAGTGGACACTACATGCTGTTTGCACGTGTTTATTAAGAGGGTCAGGGTCCGAAAGAAAGTCAAAGGGAAGAGGTCGTCTTTTTTTGCATGCCCCAAATTGTAGTAGATTGCAGAATGTAAATGAGACAATTATTACACCAATGCTCATCAAGCTGTGCTGGAAAGACTTCAATAGCCTGATGAATATGCATGCAAATTTGTTAATTAAGTTAATTATTCTGCTGAAAATTCATTTGTCTTCCAAGGACATTTTCCCAATGATTTTAACATGCTTGTGCCATTAGTCATGCTCCATGCTATTTAACATTACTTTTTGTCCACTTTTTCGTTTTTTTTCCCCTTCTTTCTTTCTCGCTTCTCCATTCTATTCATTTTTTGTTTGTTTGTTTTATTAAAGCTTCGAAACCAGATGATTGGTTCTCTTGACTGACCCCTGCAATGCTGGAAGACCCCAACAGCCAGCTCCAGAGGAGTGCCCTAAACCAGACTATTTCCCGGGAATATTCGCTTTGTATAGTACACAAAAAGTGGCCAGAATTGTCACGTTGGGTAAGAGAGGTGCGATGGGGAAGGGTAAGGGTGAGCAGCGCTGGAGACACTGGAGCTGGGCTCTCAGTGGGTCCCCGTGGGGACGCGGAGGGAGAAATCTGCCCCTGCCGCGGGCTCTGTCCTCGGTCGGAGCGGGCTGTGCTTGGCACGGGCGGCTCCCGGGCTCCGCGAGGTGCCATCTCCTCGCGCTTGCCCGCGCTCTGCCCGCGCGGCGCCGCGCGGAAACATATGCGCTCCGAGAGGAACGGGGACCCAGACACTTCCCTGTCACCACCGAGGGCCAAAAACCCGTTGCCATGGCAACGGCGGGGAAGAGGGAGTTTAAAAAAAATCACGTCTAAATGGCAAAATGAGATACTTCAAAGAAACAGAAGGGTGGGGTGTTTTTTTTTTTGTTTTGTTTTGTTTTTTTTTTGTTTTCTCTCTTTCTGCGAAAGAAAAACATGGTATTGTTACAACTTTGCATGATTACGCTTTCAGAAAACAGGACCTTCTGCTATCCCCCTCACAAAGCCTGCATCTCAAAATGTGTCAGAGTGCACGGGGACTATTTTACATTTCTAACTATGCTTGCTCCACACCACGGAGCTGTTGGTGCCTCTGAAGTTCACTTCTTTTTCTGTTCCGTGGCACGTGAGCAATGAATGATTTGCTTTTTTTTCCAGCAAACAGGAAGAAAAGTCCCAGCATGACCATGGGAGGCTCTTTGCCTTCATATAGCAAGACACAGACCAGGAGAAGCTTAACAGAAAGGGGATTATAAAAAAGGGAAAATTGCAGATAATGGAGTTTAAGAAAATTAATTGGCGAGATTCTCTTTTGTGCAGTCCTTATACATTACACAGTCTGAATGGCACTGTAGTGTCACATAGATCGTAAACCAATTAGGATGGTATTTTAAACCCTGTAATTTCTGTAATTCCATCTGCTTTAGATGGTTTAATTAGTGAAAGTTACAAAAGCCAAATATATTTGAATATTTTGAAATCAAGCCCAAAGGCAAGAAATAAGAGTTACCAAAAACACTTGATGTGAATGTGGGCATATTGCACTAGGGTATGGGGGGGGGAAGGAGGGGAGAGGCTTTTTGTTTTCTTTAATGAAAGATCGGTTAAACAATATTAGGGGTGAAATCCCCAGCTCACTTAATAGCAAAATTGTCATGGACTCCAATGTGGTAGGAATTCATCCCAAAAGAATATAACCTTTAAGTATTGAGCTATTTTTCTAGCATAGATAAAACTCCTCTCTTGGATATCTAGATATCCTACTCCTGAAATCAAGTGAAAGCTCCTCAGCGAGGACTCTTGTTGAGTCCTTTGTTGGGGGTGTCTAGTTGGGCAACTCTACCATTTTAATGCTGTGGAGCTTGATGACTGCTCAATGGGTACAGCCTTACGTTTCCAGAAGCTCTGTCCTGAAGCTATTCCCCTAACTGCTTCGAATCTTCAACATTTGCCCAGTGACCTGGTGAATGCTTTGCCTAAAAAAGAGTTCTCTGGGTGACTATACGTAGCTTATACCTGTTCCCGTTTTCTAGAGTTTACAGCAAATTTTTGTAGTGGGAAATTAAACCCCACCATTTCCTGGTTTAATTCCAAGTAGCTGATGGTAAACATAATAACCTGCAAAGCCTTAGTTCGGATATCTTCACTCATGCACATAGCCGCACGACAGTACATGAAAGAGGGTTACACAAACAGTCCATGAAATCACTGCAACACACTGTAAATAAGAATAATCTTTTTCTTTTTAACAGAAAATTATCAGATGTCAGGAACAAAAAAACCCAAAACTCTAAGATGTCAGGAACAAATTAAATGATTAGCAGTGCGCTGTGCTTGTTTAGCTCTGGTATTTCTTCTGCACAGCAGCTGTGCATTATTATGGACCACAGATAGCTTCACTCACCAATGACTGACAGCGGCATACTGAAGACAGGGTGTATGGTATTGCAACGTCTGTCACCCTCTGATTGAGACACCGTAGGTGTCCAGGGCTGTCCTTATGCACTTCAATAGGTTTCTGAAATATTCCAAGGTAGAACTGTTATTCATTAAAAAAAAAAGTTTTGTTTTTTGGGTTTTTTTTTCCTGCTTAACAGGAACATAATGGAAGTTAGTTATTAATTCATTGTACCTCCTACAGTTTGAACAAACCACTTTTGTTCTAGCTGTTATAATAAATGTCAAGCTAATGAAAATATCTAACATAACGATGATTGTCAAACAGCCATGGTGAAACAGTAAAATTAAGGAGAAATAACAGTTATATAGCGGTATTCAACAAATAAGGGGAAATTTAGCATACATATCATTAGAGGAGAACAGCCCCTGGAGGCATTAAATACATCCCTTTCCTATAACTATCAGGACAGGTTTTACTAATAAAATTAGGCACATACTACTCTTTTGCGTGTTTGGGTCTGCAGTCATTTACAACATGGTAACTCGAGTTAATAGAAGAAAGAGAAAAGGAGAACTTCCCATCCAAAACCTGCACTCTTGGCTTCAATCTAAGCCATGGCTGAAGCAGCTCCAATGATGAAGGATGTCTTCTGCTCCAGGGATTAAGCAGCTCTTTGACTCTTTCTCTGCATAAAATAGGCAACGGGTTTGTTTTCCTTTCCACAGCCAAAAAAACAGCATCCAAATGCACCTCTGACAGCCGCTAACTGTCACTGCAGGAGTGTTTGGAAGCTACCCCTTTCCCCCTGCTTCACAGCCTCCCGGTGAGGGCTGGACTGAGCTTGAAGTTGCTGAGACCAACTGAATCAGTCAGCAGTGGGTCCTTTTTGCACCAAGTGCTTTAGCAACACTCATGTGGACAACAATCTGGGCAAGAACCACCAAAGCCCACGAGTGTCAGCAGTTCAGATGATCTCTTGGAAGAGATGTCGCAAATGTCCTACACTCTACTGAATGACAAAATTAGAGTGAACAAGAGACACAGCATTGATATTAACTAAAAAACAAGAAATCTGAGCCATTATTGCTCAACAGCAGAGCACCTCCTTCTGTTGGGCAGCTCTGGCTCCTTTGCCTTATTTTATTTTCTCGTTTCGGACCTCATCAACACTTTTCAGGGTTAGCTCTCTGCCTCCCCTTTGCGCTCCATGACTCTACTGCAACAGCATCAAGGATTTACTCACTCACTCAGTTAAACTCAGGAGCAACTGAAGATGCAGATAAACACTTATTTTAGGACAAAGCAGAGGTAAAATAAAGAAAATAAAAACCCAGAACCAGGGGCAAAGCGGGGAAAAAAAATGAAGTTAAATACTTATTCAGGTTACTACAGCTGAACACTACTCTCCCATAAGGGTTAAAATTCCCTCCACAAGTATGTAATACTGAAAAAATCCAGCCCAGATCTCCCCACAGGCATAGCCAGCGGAATTAGAGGTCAACGAGATGCCTAATGCTCAGTGCTAGGGAGCCAATCTGTCATCTTCTGCGTAAGGATCGTAGGCGGCTCTGCACTGGCTGCTTCCCTGCTGTCCAGAGGCCCAAGGGCTCAGCTGTTAGTCAGCTCCCACAGGCGAAGAGGCACATTGCAGCTCAGCTTCTCCTCTGGTTCAGAGAGGCAAAAAGTCACCTCCCTACCCACTACCAGGAACAGCTCCTGCCTTGCTTCCATCACAGTTGCTGGAAAACAAATCCAACAGTGAACCCTTTACAAATTTTTGTTTCTATTCTGATTTTAGAATTTTCTATAGCCTTCAAGCTTGTCTCAGGGGAGCTCTTTCTCCTTCGAAACAGGCTCAGTTCACAGGTCTGGCTCATCTCAAGTTACAAGCTATCTCTGAAGACCTGTAGCTGGATGTCCAAAGGTTCTTTGGGGTTTGTCATTGCCACCTGATGGCATTTTGTGCCTCCTGGGCAAGGACAACGGAAGTATATCCACCATGTGATGGAGAAGACCTTAAGCATTTGGATTTTATAAGCCACCAGAGCCCTTGTCTCTATCTAAAACCATGAATCAAGAAGAGTTCACTGTCCTAACTGAATCTACTATTGACCTTCAACAGGATCTTTAAGTGGAAGATGCCCCATTGCAGCTTATTGCTGTGTTGTCCTGATGTAGCCAGCTCCTTTTCCCTCCAAAAGCCCCACCAAAGTTGCACACAGATTCCATATGCAGCTGACCTATGGCTACAGTGGCACTGTAATGCATCTTGTTGCATCCACCCTCATAAAAATGCTATATGTACCCTGAGGGGCCATCTTCCTCAGGGTGTTTTCTGTCAAGGATGCACACAGTCCTTGTGCTCCTGCCGCCTCCGCTGCCATTTCTGCAGTTGTCTCTTCTGAAGTTCCTACCACCACCACTGCTAAACGTGGCTGTGAAACGCAGTAGTAATAATACCTAAGAGGCAACAAGTTCTCAAGTCTGATTCTTCAGTTACAAAAGAAACTTGCAGAGAGTTGACTCAGCAAATACTGCAGCCGTTCATTTTCGTATTTTTTATCCAACAGTCTATTAAAAAAAAAAAAAAAAAAAGAGAAAAGGAGGGGAAAAGGAAATGGCAATATACCTGTCAGTGAATTAGTCGTGGAAGATTTTGCCTATTCTGAGATTGGCAAAGCTACAGAACTATACATAATCCTACTACAGTATTAAAATTAACATCATAGCCCACTCTTACTCTGTTCACTAGGGCATTCACTGTATACCCTCTGTGGAAAATATTGCATTAAATTCATAAACTGCACTATTAATGAGCATGTTAGGTGCAAACACCCTTTGGGATTACAATCTGAAATGCCCTAGCAGCTCAAAAAATGAAGTTCTTGTGCTAGATCTCCATTCAGAACAGGAGCAGAACTTTGCTCCTGGGGCGTCAATGCTATAGTTGTGATCAAGCAAAAACCTGGCATTTCCGACTACATTTGCCAGTGGTTGCTGTCTTCCTTTTTCACTCATCTCCCATATTAAGGCCAACTCTATCCTATAGACTTCTGACAGCACAGCTGTGTTGGTCAGAGGTGCGATGAGATGTGTTCCCTGACAGCGCAAGCTGTAACCACACTCTGGCACGTTATTTTTCTCCAGTTATCATTAACACTTACAGTGAATAAACCTCCTAATGCAGATTGCAGCAAACCCCCATTTGTCTTCTGTTCTTTTAGGCGGAGAAACACAATATGTGTCTAGGCTGCAGTCACAACAGAGACTGCGAGTTCTGCCCACGGTCCGGGCTAGTTTTAAACTAGCAGCCGTGTGGAGGCAGAACTCCCCTACAGACAAACACGCAAGACGAGCTCCACGCTCCCCAAAATGCTGAGAGCAGCCAGCCGGGGTGTGCGGTGATCACAGCAGTGACAGCAGCGCAGACACACTCAGGTGTGTCACGAGCCTCCTGGTAAAACCACCGACACCACGCGCTGAAGACGCTCTTGTGGTTTTCCTGCCAATTAAGAGATATTTGGGGACTCTCTTGAAATCCCAGGACTTTAGAATCATCCAGTTATGTCAGCATTTTCACCTTGCAGTCTTGAAAAGGAAAGCAAAATACAAGTCTTTAGGCAGGAAAAAAAAAAAAAAAGAAAAAAAGAAAAAGAAAAAGAAAAAGCCAGCAAGCGAGACCCCCCCTTCTCAGAAAACAAAAAGGCAAGTAAAAAGACAGGTGCCTCGGGAAATTTTTTTTGAGGGCTGGACACGTGAGGTATTGCTCATCGTGTTTTGCTTTTTCCTGTGCTACTTACAGAACTTCATCTGCCAGTCTTGGCAGTGAATGCCGGCGGAAGAACGAGATGCTTTGTGCTTGCAGTGATGTTCACATGGTTTTCCATACATTAGAAATTTCAAGAAATGCATTTCTCTGAGAGTCCAATAAACCACTACTAGATCAACAATTTCGACTGCAGGGTTTTTTATGTTTACTTCAGTGGCAGAACATTTTAAACTAACACATGCTGAGCGAACATCAGGTTCTTATCCTATGACTCCTCGTCTTGATATAACTCCATTAGTGAGTTAAAAGAAACAGGAACCCAATGCATTTGAGTTCATGTGATACAGAAACAACATAATTTTCTAACTGAAAGCTTCCTGCTCAGTTCATGGAAGAACTGTCTGCACACCCCAAGTGCTAGCGAGCGGCAGCACGGGGAGGTAGAGAAAGCTGATCCTCCAAAGGCGACAGACAACCAACAAACAGGGATGTACTTGGATCGTTTGGGTCACTGCAGAACACAACAGCACTTGCAAATGATCACAGAATTAGAAAAATACATGAGCAAAAACGAAGCCTATGCGCTCTGAGATTTATGATATATATGAAATACGAATATATGAAATATATTTTCCAGTAAAATTACAGATCAAAGTCTTCTTGACTAGAACATCACCATTAGCTTTCAATGGCTCTCATAACCTTGCCTTTAAAGCAGAAAAGGGGAAAAAAGAGAGCCTCAGAATATACTACAGCTGACATACAAATAATGCAATGCCATTTAAAAACAACAATACATTGGCAGGCATTTGTTCTCATTATTCCATTTTGCATGCCATAATGTGAATTATGCCATTTAAGCTTTCTTGCAATGACTCAGAAAAACACAGATTTTTTTTTTTTTAAGTAAGTAGGGCACAGTGATTTCAGCTTTTCCTTTCTTCCTTCCTCTCTTCTTTTCCTCCTGCTCTGCCCTCCCCATTCCCTGTTTACAGTTTCTACTGTATTTACTGATCATCAGCAAATGTATAAACCATGTAGTGGGGATGGTTAACATTCTGTTTAGCCAAGATCTTCAACCTTGAGCTTGCAAATGTTGCTGTGAGCACTGGTGGCTAAAGACAGAGGTTTTCAATTAGAGCCGTGCAAGTGCTTAATGTGTGCATCTGTTCTGCAGAAAGGCTAAACATCTTTAAAATTTTAACACAAGCGCATTGACATTGCAAAAGGAAAATCAAATGTCATTGAAAAGCGAATGGTTAAAGAGGTTGCTGAGGATCTTATTTGCATTTTTTGGATGGCTAATTAGGTCACAAGGGTTAATATGTTAAAGAATGGTCTGTCTATTGTTATGTTGGCTGTCAGAGTCTATCTCAATCAAGCATAACTACAGATTACGGGGCAGCTGTCTTTGATCAAATACTGAGTACTTGTTTAGTCTGAGATCAAATTGAAAAACCTAATAGCTGATATTCTAAAATATTTTGTAGTGCAAGCACCAATTGCAAACAAAACCTTTCCAATGAAAAAAAATAACACCAACTTCTCTCAAATTTGAATTGTCAGGCTGATGTCTTATATCAGAGTAAGATACAATGATGGTGACATTTTTATTTTTTTCCTATAAAACAAAGGAAAAATAGTCCAGAGCAGTACAACCCTGTTTCACAAACTTCCACAATCTGGACAGTATTTCCCGAGGACTTGTGTCCTTTCAGTGTATTTAAATAGAACAAAAGCACCATTAAAATGGGCATATTCCCCCATTATACTGAACAATTACTTGGCAGTATAGGTTATTTTAATGGACACATCACTTTAAACTAAGCTTTCGCATCTGTTCTGCCCTCTAATTACAAATGCAAAAAGAACATAATTCACAATTGCATCATAAAAGAGGAAGCTGTAAGTGATTTAAATGCATGTGTATGTTCTTTAGTAAACACAACATGCAATCTGCTATGTTTTTCCCATGTACTGGGCACAAATCAGATAAAAAACTTCATGTACCAGCCAGAGATTCCTCTCCCCCTCTCCCTATTTTCCTCCATCAGGAGAAAGACTTCAATATATGAATGAATCTCTTGAAGTGAACTAGCAGAAGAATTAAGTGCTGCCTTCTCATACAGCAAAGGATTGAACAAGGCTGAGAAAGCAATTCACAAATTTTAATTTCACAAATTTTGAGGTCTTCTGTCTGCAATCTGTCCCCAACCTTTTTTTTTTTTTTTTTTTTTTTAAAAAAACGCAATACGAGATCAACAAGGAACGGAGGTCAAAATGTGTTCTCTCTCTCTCTCTCTCTCTCTCTCTCTGTAGTTCTGGTTAAAAAGTTACAGAAAAATGCCATATATTTTCTCCCACTTTTTGGTCAATTTCACAGTTTTTAAAAACACTTCTACCTCCTTTCAATAATTTTCTGTTGCATTTATTATTACAAATACTGAAGGTATTTTGCTGTCATTTTCCACAACCATCCCGTATGTCATTTTAAACAGATTTAACTAGTTATTACTGGAAACACAGGTCATTTGGTTAATGTTGCCTTACCTGGATCATAGTGCTTCTCAGAATCAGGATGCAAGTAAATGATTGTATTTATAAGTTTCACTTCACCTCTTAATATTCACTTCAAATTCTCAGTTCCTATTAATATATCTGATAGAAAATTCATGTATGAATACTCTGTATGAATATGTACATAACGAGCAAGATCATTCTGCCATTTACTCATTTCTCCTTATAACACTATGTATACTGCAACAAAGGCACAACTGAGAAACTCTTTCCTGTCAGCTATGTTGTTTGCTTTTCCTGGTGCTACCACTGAGCTAGAGCTTTGTTGGCACTCATGCATTTGCTGTGATTTTCTTACTGATTCTACAGCCCTGCTTCTTCTGCTGAAGATGAGTGTTTTGTAGACTACTTGACTTCAAAAAGTCCCTTCTGTTATCCAGTAATGATCCTTACAAAAAAGTTCCTCTAGGGTTAGATATTTTTCTTCTTTTTTATTAACTACATATGCTGTTCATCACTGTGTGTATGTCTGAGAGGCTTCCCCCCTCCCAGCTATATCTAATATAAGCTATTCTCTCATCTACATTCCTTTTCTCTAGTATTGCCATATGAATTTAAGGAAGGGAATTGGTTTAACAGACTCAAACTTTTGATCTGAGTCCTCACATAAATGATATAATGAGACCTCCAAAGGTGTTTGGAAGGAGACCATTACCAGTCAATGATCTAGCATTAGTCATAGTGTATGTATTTTGCTATATTTTAAATCAGCTTTTGCTGATCACGTTGTGGATCAGAAGAAATTCGTTTCTCTTCATTGTCTCTATCCAATTCTTCTGGCATCTTTTTCCTTTAAAGCTATGGAGGTGGGCCACAGCTACAGCCAGAATGACAGGCAGAGTATTTTTTGTAACTCTGAAGACTTCTCATGTGTCTGGCTGATCTATACCATGGGCCATTTTCCAGTTTTCACTATCATCTTACCTAATAATATCTGTGCTAAGGACTAATACTCTGGCCCTTTCAGGGGTATATTATTGTCATAGCTGTCTGCTTCCTGCACTCCCACTTTGCTGTCTCTCTGCTCCAGTTTAAGAACAGATTTACTTACTGAATCTTGAGCGCGGCTTGAAGCTTAATGATGAAAAGCTTTGTGGAAAAGACTGGATATGCAGACCTCATTGACGTCTGTCTGCAGCAGAACTTGTGTGGCAGTTTGGCAAGTCCTCAGTGGAGAGTGTGCTCCGCTCTACACGCTCCCCAACATATTGTTCTCCAACATCAACACAACCCTATAGAACATATAAACATATAGAACATATAAACCTATATAATACTATACTATAATACTATAAACCTATAAAATACTAGCCTTAGTTTTGATCACACCCACACCAAATAACTCCTCTGCAGACCACAAAGTGCACAACAATGCAAAGCTGGAGACAAAATCAGGTGTATACATCTGATTGTAAAGCACGCTCAAAGAGGGGAAAATCACCATTGGTGCTTTCCTCAACAAATGTTGCCCGAGTGGCCATTTTTCTCTCAGAAGGAATATAGAGGGTGATGGGGGCATGTCTGAGCTAGGTTCAACTACAAAAGAAAATACATACCTACTATCAGAAACAAAAAGGGCTTGAAATAACTGCACATAGTACTAAAATGGCCATACAACACACACATTAAGCACTAGGAGACCACTCCCCCAGACTTTCCAAATCCAGAGCAAGGAAAACCAGTTTCAACACAGGCTTTAAGCAGCGCACACAAAGGAAGCGAATGCCCCTGTTGGCGACTTTCCTATCCCCAAGCCCAGTCACGCCGAGCCGAGCGTGGTGCTGAGGGCCGACGAGGCTGCTGCCGTGGCGTGTTGACGTGGCTCGCATGGCATCCCTGCCCGCTGCCATCTTGGGCTGCAGCTGGCACGGCAAATGGCTGCTTTCTCACCGCAGCAGTTGGCTGCTATTGTGGCAAGGCATCAACAGGCCGCCACTGCTGCAGCTCCACTTCACCCCGACAATGGCAGGCATCCCCGCAAGCTGCCGGGCCGTTTGTGGCTGCAGCGGAGCCTGCGGCTTCCCAAGGCACGGCAGGTACCTGCGCTTTCACAAGGTGACTGCTGGTCCGGCACGGTAGATACACCGGGGTGAGAACAACCCTTGTCGGGATTATGCCTCCAGCAGGAAACAAGGTCTCTTTCCTGAGGTAATTCCCACCCATTCTGGTAAGGGAAGTATGGCACAGGGGGACCCAATGCTGATGGCAGAGGAGCAGCCCCAGAACCTTTCTCCTCCCCTTCTCCTGGTGCTTCAGGCTGTGCCCCTGCTGCCAGGAGCTGCCCAGGCATCGCTTTGCCTCCACACGTCCCCTCGGACGAGAGAGCCATCTCAGCCAGCATTTCTGAAGGTGGGAAGCTACTGAGGATGGCGGCAATCCTCCCGTCTGATGTTCCTCTCCCTCCCAACATCCTACTCGCCGCCTCTGGAGCGCTGCAAGTCTGCCAGGGAGTGGGCTGACCCAGACAGAGGAACAGACTCATTTCTGGGGGTGAGAAGGGAGCAAGGAACGGGAAGATTTCTCACTGGTAAGAAATTTCCTTCACAGAACCGTATCAGATTTGGCAGCCTGGAGAAATTGCTCTGGATCTGCTCGCCCCATCTGATATTATGACTAAATTATAAAACACACCGTTCTGTTGCTAACAGGGAGTGCAAAAAGCCACAAATCAGGACGTAGAGCTCCTCAGAGATACACCACCTCTCCACCAAGTGGGGTGGGGTCTAGGAGGACTTTGGCCACTGTATATTAGAAAAATACTACAGCCTTGATGTATATAACAAGATATATATATATACACACTGAGATGACTGTCATGAGCAGAAGCAATTGCAAAGTAATGCAGACAGTTGATAAATCAAGACAGGAAAGACTTTGGGTCTGTCACATGGTGAAAACTCAGCTTATGGAAAGTGTAGCTTTTGATGTATAAAGCAAGCATGGAGGAAAAAAAAAGAAAAAAAAAAGAAGCAGGAATAATAATTTAGTATGAGTAAACTTGCCAGTAATGTCCAGTATTTTCATATTTTAACAGGATTGCAGTGTTTTCCTGTGGGGCTGCAATTGCCAAGTATATTAAGCAGAAGCAACAAAAGAAGATTTTTTAATTGATTTGAAAAAGAAAAATGCAAAAAGTAAGGATTTTAAGACGTCCCACATAGATTTTTGCTTCCTAGGATAATTCGTGTACTACCAAATTAGGAAAAAAAAGAGTATATTTTAGGTTTTTACATAATACACTATTTTTTTTCCAGTTGAATTAATATGAATTATGTCATTATTGCCTGCTGTTGCAAAGGGGGGGACTCACAATTCCATTTTGGCAGGACATTTAAGCAGTTCCCCCTGTTTTGCTGTATTCCACTGTAGACAACTAAGCTATTTACAGTCTACAAGCTAGAGCTTTAAATCTTTAACTGGATTCAAGGAGGCTCCATTCTGTTTGACTCAACTGACCCCTTAAAATCACAAGTTTTGCCATCATTCTTTTCTTGCAAGAAATAGAAGGTATTCGGAGTTGCATATTATTCCCTCATTTCTTTTTTTCCCAACTAAGTTCTTCCGTAATACTAAGTGTTAGGCATTTACCCTACCCACCCCTAACATATGCAACTCATTTCGAGAACCTAGAAAAGGTCACTTTCTGTGCTTCTATCTTTATTTGGTGAATTACGATAGCGGTATTTCTTCATTTTTTTTCCATATAACTATTTCATATTTTGCAATATGTCCTCTCTAAACAAGTGTGATATTTTATCACAGCTATTGGATCAGATAGTAGATATTTTAGTATGCCTGCAATTTCTAGACTGTCTAAATAGCATTATCCATTTTTTATTAATAATTGGTCATTCCTACAACACATATTCCATGTTCAGTAGTGTAACTATGCTGAATCCCATCCAAATCAGGAAATCAAGACATAGAAAGTCTAAGTGGTTTGTCAGAGGACTTGGTGAGAGTTTGGAGCAAAGCACAAACACACACACACAAAGGACACGGGGCCCTGAGTTTCTGGGTTTGTGGTTTATGCTCTGAGCCCTAGGCCACTCTAAAACAAATGAACGTAATGTTACCATCATCACACATGATATTAAATAGTTGAGTTTTTTTAAAAATCCTTTCAAGCAAGGAAAACTGTAAAAGCCAGAGTTTGCAAATACAACACTGGACTGTGGCTGCTGATGGCACAACAGTTCATCAAGTGGATAAGCATATACTGCTGTCTCCACTAACAAGTCATAGAGCAGAATCAAGGCTGACATGTTTAACTACTTTTAATCTGTTTTCTAATAGAATTAAATCCATTATTCATATAAATTTGCATATTTTGCAATGTGATGCTTAGGTGGGATACTGCTCTATTCAATTAAAATGGATATCATATAGAAGGAAACATAGGCTGTTGAGATTCACCAGTTCATTTATTTATAGCCATGGGTATTTTTCCGTGTTTAAAGCTTGTTCATTGTAAAAAAAAAAGTTCAGTGTCCATTGTATAGGGGAAATTTTTGTCAGCCACTCTTTCACTTATTTTTACTACAAATATTTGCTTTATGGTAGAACTTGTTCAAGCAAATTTCAGTGGGAAGACCATGGAATATGATCAAAATGCTATGATGAGAGCGTGCCAGGAAAGAATTTATCCTGGATTTCTTTTGGCATTTCAAAATGCAAGTATTTTTCTAGAGTTGACATTTATGTCAATTTCAGATTTCAGACAAGTTTGAAGATTTTTAGCAGACCTGGAAAACCTGTATAATGTTGATTTCTGGGAGAGTATACTCTCCCCAAATCAAATACACCGTGGTTCATTAGAATGCTGCTAACACTGTATTTGTAGACAAGCCCTGTTTTGAAACACAAAGTAAATCTGCACTGTGTGGAAGTGCTTGTACAAACCCTTGCAAAAGGAGCATAATACTCTCAAATCACACTGCTTCCAATATGTACATATTACCAAGTTTCAGAGATACCACCAGCCTGCACTAAAAGCAGAGAGTTAACTCAAAAAATGTCTCAAATGATATGGTGAAAGAAGGGGAGATGCTGTTAGTGCCAAAAAGCTAGATCAAATACAACCTAAATTATGCAGCACAGTAAAATTCCCTCCTAAGAATATGCACAGAACCCCAAATTCTTTCCTATGAAGACTTTCTCTTCTGAATTTGAAATATTTAACAACAAACTGGTCACATCTATGCTTTTTTTTTTTTTTCTCCAAGTTCAGATAGAAGAAGGCTAAAAAAGCAAAGAGTAGTTCATCCGAAAGAATCTGGCTTTACATACTTGTCTAGTGACTTAAAACTCAGAAAGAGTGAACACAAGAGAAAGAGAAAAATAAAATAAAAGGTGTTTGATTTTTTTTTTTGTGCATTTTTTTAGTTTGTTTTCTTTGGATTTTTGTGGTTTTTTTTTTCCTTAGCGTTCCCAAACACCTTTTCGCCTAGTCCCCAACAGTAACAAGTCACATTGTTCTGCATTCTCCAAACATAAACTTAATTCAGTGCCATGGAGGATTCATTAAAATCCCTGGATCACAGTGACCTCTAGGGGTACGCTGTACATCAGCAGGATTTCCCCGGATTTCTGGATGAAAAGCATTCTTCTGCACAAAAGCAGCCTCGTGAGGATTTTATTGAGGATCATCCAAAAATCCTCCACAAGAAGATCTCCAGTGCAGCCAGATATTTGAAATCATGAATGTTTCCAAATATGAGCTTGACACAAAAAGATTGTTCCTCAGAAAGAAGATTAATATAATAAACTAAGCGAGAACATGATCTCAGAATAAAAAAGAATTAATGTCAGACCCAGGTTGTGTGTTGAAAGTAAGGGTAAAACTCAAACTCACCTTTGTGAGTGAAGGACTAGATGGGTCAATGCCTTCTATTCATTTTACCCAAAGGAACTCCAGTCATATCCCTCTAAGAAAAAATAGATTTTTAAAAATAAAGTAATAGCAGTGCAACATTCATAGCATTGTCACCTAAGAGCAGGTCACTTGTGAGCATTGGTCTGAACATGTTCTATGGGGGAGCCCATTTCTGCTTTAAAACACTGGAAATCTGATTCCCATTTACTCTGAGACGAGTTTCAGGTGCCACACTGGTGTAAAAAGTCTTTACGGCAGGCTGTGTTCCAGTGCTCTCTTCTCTGCATAAGGAATTAAAAGCTCAGTCCCTGCTATTTGTAAAAGTTGTGTAATTAATCTGCAGCATGCATTAAGAAAACTCCTGGGACCAGGCATGCATCAAATTAGTGATTTTACTGCTGTTTAGCCAAGCTATACTCAATTCCTGGGAAAGGGTGGGGGACTGTAAGGAGGAGGTTATAACTTCTCAATCCCACCACCAGCCTTGCTCCAGCTGCTGCTGAGGTCCAGGCTCTCACTATATGGCTATTAGCAGGCTGCTCTGCAGAGGTGGTCTGGCCTGTGCTGGTATTTCACAGAGAGGGATTATACAGAGAAACAATTTTCTGAGTTTCCTCCACACGTGGAGGACTTTCTAAAATGGACCAGGGCTGCACACACTCCGGCTAAAGAAGAACCAACTCTGACTGCTCCCACTGTGGGTGTCCATGGGGTGTGTTTGAAGACAGAATTAGTGAAGTCCTAAGAAGGGGGGTGTTAGCTGTCTGCCTGTGACATGGCAGACCAGAGGAGGAGACACACAGTTGGCCAAAAGAAAAGAAAGACATGAAGTGCAGGGCTGTGTCCGCACTCCTGCAGCGGAGATGGCCTCCATCTCCTTCCTCATGGAGAAACCTCGTGCCTTCCAAGGTGTTTAGGTGATGGATTTCCCCAGTGTGGTTTTATTGCTATTAAAGATTCAAACAGTATGAAGCTCTTCCAAAGGAAAAAAAAAAAAAAAAAAAAAAAAAAGAACTAAATAGCAGGGAGTGCAGCAGGTGATGGATGTGTCAAGGCATT